TTCCTTATAAATTGAATAATGTGAGAGAATTATTCTTTTGATTGGTTCATTCATTAATTTGCTATGTCCCTTTTATTTCAAAAACCTGACAAATATTTTATTTTTTTAAAACAAAAGTAGGAAAGTTTCCTTTTTTTTTTTTTCCAAAATCGGCAAAATAATTTTTTAAGTTTAAATTTAGTGGTCATGTGTGTTCAGGGATGTAAAAGTTTTTATCTCCGGAGAAATGTTATCTCATAAGCATTGTACAAAAAGATTGACAAAAACTTTATTATTTGTATATAATGTCAAGTTTAACACTTGTTTCCAACTTTACACGACATATCAAAAATTTTCAAAATGCAGGACCCTTTTAACGTAAAAATAAATAAATAAATAAAGATAAATCTTTTTCACGCATTTTTTGTCCGTCTAATTGCATAAAATAGGAAAATTGTAAAACATGCGACGGCTATCTATCATTAAGAAACCAAAATAAATCTTGTGTATACAACAAAATATCGATTTTCTCGATTTATTTTACCAAGATTTCGTTAAAAAAGTAAATATTCGTCTAATTAACCGTCAAGCGTTGTGAATGGTGCAAATGGTTTTAAATAATTTAAATAATTTAAAAACATTGCGGAAAAAGGATTTTCAATGAACTCATTTTAATCTAAACGTAAATGTTGATCTTAATAAAAAAAATGGAAAAGATGGTTGTTTCCCTGACGATTGCCAAACGATCCCTTAAAAATTATTAATCAAATGATGATACTTGCCCGCGGTCGCACAATAGTGTGGGATGTTGTCCAACATCTTTTTTCTTTTTTTTTTTTTTTGATGTATTAATTATAATCCATCACTATATAAAAAAATCGTGTTTTGGGATTTATAACTTTGTAAATTTATTATGCACCGTACATGATAAAAAAAAAAATTAAAAACTCATTTTGACATTAGTCAATATTTCAAAAATGAAGAATAATGAAATTGATAGAAATAAAAAAATTCCACGTCAAACAAAAAAAAAAAATACCATGAATTCTTTCAAAACTACTACATACGAAAAATGGCGCAGTAACTTACATTGATAAAAATTATCTATTAGAATTTGTTAACATTGTTAAAATCGTAAAACCATGTTGTATAACTTAAAAATCATGTAGATCAATTCGGCAATATTTTAACCGGAGTTTAAATACCGTAAATATTTATTTATTTATTTTTTTTTTTAGAAATACAAACATTAATCTTCCTATTTCATAGACATCATGACTTTATTCGTAGAGAATTAGTTAATGATGTAATTAGTAGTTTAGACTTGATAAATGACCCCGACATAGATAAAGAGTATGAATTAATACAAAAAGCAATTATAGCTGATAATTCTCTAACAAGTGATGAAAAATCAGAGGTAATGAGAATAATAACTGACCAACATGATAATAATAAAACTTATCATAATGAAGGAAAGAAAAGAATTTGTGAAAACTGCCAACAAGAATGTTTCGCGGTATCATATTGTGAACTTTGTATTCAAAATTATTTAAGAGCGAAATTTTCAAATTGGACGTCCGGAAATGATGAAATTGATGATTTAATACAGAAATGTCAAATGGAAACAACTCGTCCTCATGGTACAGCTGAATGGATACCATATAATAATTTACTAAATGTTAAATATTTAACTAAAGGTGGATGTTCTGAAATTTATATGGCAGATTGGATTGATGGATATTATTATCAATGGGACTCTGACACTCAGCAATTAATAAGATGTGGAACAGTAAAAGTAATACTTAAAAGGTTAGAAAATGTTGAAAATGCTAACAAAAGATGGTTTGAAGAGGTATAAAAATTATTAAAAACTCAGTTATATAATTAAAAAGCTAATTTATTTATTCTATTTATAGGCACAATCTCATTTAACATTAAGCAATAAATTACCATCTTTAGTTCAATGTTTTGGTCTTACTCAGGAACCATTATCAAAAGATTACTTTCTTATAATGCATTTAAATGATATGGATTTAAGGAAATATTTACAACAAAAACATAACCAACTTACATGGAAAGAAAGGATTCATATGGCATATTCTATAATTAGAGATATTTGTTTTCTTCATATAGAAGATGCAATTCATAGAGATTTACATTCTGGAAATTTATTATACTTGAAATATTTTAATGAGTGGTATATTGGTGATCTAGGATTTTGTGGACCTGTTGATAAACCATCAGAAAGCATATACGGAAATCTTCCCTATATAGCACCTGAAGTAATGTTTGGAAAAGGATGTACTAAAGCATCAGATGTATATAGTATTGGTATGCTTATGTGGGAGATTTCATCTGGACGACCGCCTTTTGCTAATTTTGATCATAATTATGATCTTGCAATGAATATTGTAAATGGAATGAGACCAGTAATTGTACCAGGAACTCCATTAAAATATAAAAAGTTAATGAAACAATGTTGGGATGCTGATCCATTGAAGAGACCTGATATTAGAATTCTTCATGACAAAATTTTTGAAATGCGTAAATTATGTTATGATGAAAATGATAATATTATCAATACAAAATTTAATGCAAGCACTTGTACAATTGATTCATTAAGTAGTAGGTTTAGTAAAACATATAATCTTGAAGGTCTACCTGAACCAAAAAATGCTACTGAAGGTAAGTTAATAAAAAAAAGTTTTTAATTTATCATAATTATTTATAATATATAATTAATTGATTTTTAATTATAGACGAACTAGAAGGTAATTGATATATATTATTTAATCGAAATGTTTTAAACTTTATTACAAATTTTAATATATCTTTTTAAATTTTAAAAGTATTTCATAGTAAACCTTGTAATTATAGTATTCCTTATATTAGTAAGTAATGTATAAAAAAATTTTTTTTGGATTTTGCATAAATATATGTTTTAACTCAATTAGTTGATTTAGTTGAGGATTTCGCATGTTCGAATAAACAAAACGACGGAACATCAAACTTTAGTATTATTAAAAGTAAAAAATATTCAATTGTATTAGTTTATATAATCTTTTGATGATTTAAATATTAATAATTTTATTTTAAATTTAATTAGATTATAGTAAAAGAATATCTAAATTGTTTAATAAATTACAAATAAATTCAAATCGTAGTAAGTGAGAATTTTTATATTTATGGTGTCAAAATACCTTATATTAATGTAACCATGATTTAAATTTCCTATAGAAACAAAACAACAAATAAAAGAAAAAGGCATCAGGATTGATGATGGTATGTAAATACTGTAAATCGAACAATCTTTATAATAATAAGATATAACGATAATTTTTCTATTGGATTAAACATTTTCTAGACGATGATGAGATTTATAATAACCCGAACCTTCACGCAGAAGATCAAGATGAATTAGAAATTCCAGAAGGTAAATAGTTTTTATCAATTATAACTTCGAATGATTAAATATGTAATATTTTATTACAACAATTGTTAATTTCTAGATTGATTTAGAATTGAATAATCGTACTAAAAGTTAATTTGTTAATAATATTTGAATAATGAACGATTATTAGATAGATTAATCAAGCTGTATTTTATTGAATTGCTTAATTAATAATTTAAATTGATTTTATTTTCTTTATATTACTTGTGATTTTATTACAAGAACCGCAAAATTATTTTTAAGTTATTAAATTGAAAAAAAAAAATGTTTATTTATTTCATTACATTATTTATAAGTCAAATAAAAAAAATCCGGAATGTCCTAAACTGTGAAATTATACCAATAATTGCATTTTCAGCATTTCTTACGATTTTAGTACGATATGCTTTTTCCAGATGTTCTCCATACAAACAAAATTGAGAGATATTAATAAAATAAATTTAGTTTAAGCACTATGGTTTGCCGGTGATGGTTTGTAAAAATTCTTAAATTTACAATATAAGTTATATATAAAATTAACCTTTTCGCCCAAATGAGAATTTGTACTCAACAAATGCAGTCTCGTGATCCTAACGATTTTAAAAATAAAAATTTTTTTGAATTAAACATTGACCTTTAGCTATAAGTTCTAACCGATTGCTTATTTTACTTCGTTTCTGCAAGTTTATTTAGAGTGATAAGAAAGGTGTGTTTTTATTTTCCTAAAAAATAATAATTTATATTTTAAAACTAAGTTTCCATTAAAAAATTTTGAAAATTATAATTAAGAATTACGTCATTAAGTCACTAAGTTTGATAGTAAAACAAAAGTTAACCGCAATAGAAAAATTTAGGATTCTTTTTTTTTTACTCTCAAGTTTGAATTTAAAGCTAGGCGAATTATTATGTAATCATCAAAATGATTATGTCGATGTATAAGTTTAATAAAGAATCACTTGATTCAGAAATCAAAATAGAATGGAAAGAGCCAATGCCAGTGCCAATGTCAGCGCTAAGGCCAGCACCAATGCCAATGTCAGCGCTAATGCCAGCACCAATGCCAATGTCAGCGTTAATGCCAGCACCAATGCCAGCGCCAGTGCCAATGTCAGCGCCAATGCCAGCGTCAATGTCGGAAACATATTTCGACGATTTGTACAAACTTTATTTTAATGTATATTTTTTTTTTATTATTATAAGAACAATACTAACGACAACTTTTATATTATTAATTAATATTTGGTGTGTCCTCCTTCTGCATTGATAGAAGATGAAGATAACGATTGGGTCACGTGAAAAAATTTTTTTTATAATTCTCGTTGATTTTATTCACACGTTATTCATTCATATCAAAGATGATGAGTCTCTTAATAATATCTTGAAAAACATGGCGAAAAGTGACCTCAAGTTTCAAGCAATTAAAAAAATCTACTTTGATAATTTTGTTCAATTATAAAATAGGAAGTGAGATACGTTGATGGTTTAACGTTCAATGGAGCAGCATCATGTTTAAAACAAATTCCTTCCCTACATTCATATGCTAGATGAAGTCCGTGAATGAATTGATTAGCTTGATATTATGCGTCATATTATGATTATCACAAAACCCGAACAAAAACTAGCTAATTATACTTGTGAAGCAACAACCTGGTTAATTGAATCATCATCAAATTCAAGCTACATTGAATTTTATAAATGTTTTTGAGATGATCTCTGAACGCGAAGAAAATATTCATTTTTATAATGAAAATGATTTTAATTGGATAATTAGATTTAATAATTAATCTTGAAGTGGATAAGTCAATTTTATATCATGTATGTTTCAAAGTGACAATTTTTATCGGTTATTTAGGCTGCTTAGCTGTATTCAATTTGAATCATCATGGACATGATTTACGCAATGTTATGGATGGTGGCGGTGTCTGCGCTTATATCAGATTACAACTTAAGTGTTCTATTAATAGGAATTATAACAAGGTGAATGAAAATAATATTGAAGAAGTCAACAGTCAAGAAATTTCAAAATCGCCTGAAATTGTACAGATTATGCATTGATCGCTGGGAACATATTGGAAATCTTGCAGGTTGGTTCATGTTCATTTCTAGAACTAATTAAATGAACAAATGACCATATTAAATGTCTCCATCTAATGTAAAAAAAATTTTGGGTGAGAGAACTTGTCCTGATCTAATATTTTTATTTAATTTGACAGCAACATGAGCTGCTTATTCGGTATTTAGAATCATCTAGAGTTTTATCATTTCTCATTTTTTTGCATATTTATTTATGAGCTGGATTTCTGCCTCATTTATCCTGATCAAAATACTATTCGATAACTTCGCGAGGCGAATGATTATTTTAGTGTTTCTTTCACGAGCAGGGAGTAATTATGAATCAATTAAAATAACTGTATTTTGTGAATATTTTAAAAAAGAATTCTTATATTAAGGTCATGTTTGAAATATAAAATTGTATACCACTTAAACGTGGTAATTCAGTCATGGTTACTGACTGCTTCATTGCATCCCTTATTAAAGATCTGTGGCGAAGGCTCTTATAAAGATTGCGGGATAAGTAAAATTCTTAGTTAGAACGAAATAATTCCAATATAAATGCACCACACATAAATGCATTCCTTTTCTATTAGCTTAGTCTCAAGCTTGGGACACAGTGCTAAATGCACACTCTCAGTATTTACGCTGTGCAACGATTTTAGTATTCTCTTAAAAGCACTCATGAATGATTTTCACGCGTACTGTATCCTTGTGATCAATTCTTAGTAATGTTAAAGTATCACTACAGTGAACAATTTACTACGCTAACTTAAAAGATTAACTACTCAAAAATTCTGTCTGACTATTGCAGTTTGCAAAGATCAAACGTTAACGTTATTAATCATTTTAAATTTGTAAAAAGTATATATAATAGTAAAGTTGATATAAGTAAAAAATTCTTTTTTATATTATACTAGCTGGTGTCCGCTGCATTGCAGCGGGTTATGAGAATAGAATCATTAGTAATTGAATTATATAGTAAGTATTTGAATTTTTATTTATTTATTAAGTTATAATATAAAAAGTGTTTATTTAATGGATAAAATGAATAAATTAGGGAAACGGAAACCGTTGTTAAGTCCAGAGCGATTTCTACGCTAGTACAGAAAAGATCAACAAAATGCGTGAGTTACACAATAAATGATCTTTACGAAATAATAAGACTGCGGCCAACAAAGAAAAGACTGCGGCTAACAAAGAAAAG